AGAGAGAGAGAGAGAGAGAGAGAGAGAGAGAGAGAGAGAGACAGCGACAGAGAAAGAGAGAGAGAGAGAGAGTGAGAGAGAGAGAGAGAGACTAAAGCTGAGATATAAAGAAAACTCAGACAGAAATAGACATTTTAGAGTGGAGGAAAAAAGAGAGAGACTTAAGGAAAATAGACTTTTAATGGGAGGAGACTGCTAAGAAAGATGGAAGGTTGTACACTGATATTCAGGTACTCAGCTACCTAGGGGGCCTGGTAGCTGAGTGGACAGCGCTCGGGACTCATAATCCTAGGGACCGGAGGAGATCGATCCCCGGCGATGGCGGAAACAAATGGACATTTTTTCACCCTGATACCCCTGTTAACCAAGCAGTAAATAGTTATGAGTATAGACACCAACTGCTTTATCTTATCATCCAAGTAGCAGCCTGGTGCCCTAAAGGAATTTATATATTGTATTTTTCTTGATATAAAGTTGAATTTTGTTATATAGTGGTAATGGCTTTAATGCTTACTCCTGAGGTCTGGATCACTTCATTCATACAGCTACAAGGTGACCCCTGGCGCCATCTGTGGGTAAAGGCGGGAAACGGTCAGTAAACAAAGTTTCTCGAATATTTACACGTTAGGACGACGTGTTCCGGGAGTGTCGCCCACATGTGTGAATGAGCGCTGAGGAAGTGGCGTTGATGCCGCTGGTGAGTGTTGTATGTTGTGGCGGCCATGTTGTGGGGGCCATGTGGTGGTGGCCATGTTGTGGCGGCCATGTTGTGGTGGCCATGTTGTGGTGGCCATGTTGTGGCGGCCATGTTGTGGCGGCCATGTTGTGGCGGCCATGTTGTGGCGGCCATGTTGTGGTGGCCATGTTGTGGTGGCCATGTTGTGGTTGTGCACGAAACTGGGCCAGGTGGGCCAGCTGGAGGATATTGTGGGTGTACACAACAGTAAGGCTGCTGACACCTCCGCTGTTGACAGCTGCTGTACCAACGAGACTGTCGATACGTTGTCTGTCACCTTATCCAGAAGTTGGAATAGGATAAGCGCACACTATTCTGAATCCTATTCAGATTAGGATAGGATGTGACCAGGTATGAGGCTGTCACCTTCCTCCTGCCTTATCACCACCTCACCATCACCTCACCATCACCTCACCACCACATCACCACCACCTCACCACCACCTCACCACCACCTCACCATCACCACCTCACCACCACCTCACCACCACCACACCACCACCTCACCACCACCTCACCACCACCTCACCACCACCACCACACCACCTCACCACTCATGCCAACACTCCTGGATTATTAAGGATCATTAAAGACCATCAGGGGTCTCAAGGAGAGAGTGATTTACTATAATTCAAACTTGGAGCTCATGTGTAGGTGCCAATGGGTCATTAACCACCGGTCCAAGCACCAGGCGTTTGCTACTTCAACTTGTCTGTCATTATGTCTGGCTCGTCACGCTGCCGTAACCATCTTGCAGCAGTTAGATGCTATAATTATACGCTGTATACCTTACTAAATAGTCATCTTCAACAGCCAGAGATGCCACTGAAGATACATCACTTGCTATTTTTTATTCAGTTATATTGAAATTCTGTTGCTATTTCAAATTTAGTTAACGTAAGTGTGAGTGTGTGTGTGTGTGTGTGTGTGTGTGTGTGTGTGTGTGTGTGTGTGTGTAAACCTCACTTAAAGAGGTTTACGGGGCTATTCATACCCGTGCCACCTCTTGGGTGGCTTAATCTTAATCAATCAATCAATCATAAGAGGTTAGAGAAAGTGTAGGAACGGGAAAAGTGACGGATACATCAGTATGTGTCCGCATCTGGTGACTGTCCTCACGTGTCTTATGTTTCCTGAGGACACAGGTGAATCCAGAAACCTGTGGATACAAATGACAGGATGCAACGCTTTGATAACTGTTCACCTGGGCTGTAGCAGACTCGAACCATGGACCCCACGTGTGAGTCCTAAGGTCTCTCCACCGAGCTATTGAGTAGCAGTAATAAGGAAAGCATCCTGCTTGCAAACTGAAATTTTCGACTTTTATAGCGTGTGGTAGTTAAAGCAAGACTGGGCTTCGCGTGTTGACAGCCGGAGCTATGATGTCTGGCGTGTTGGTTCGTGACTCGGCTCCTGGTGATGGATTGACATTTGACTACACCTTCCATGTCTAAATATAACATGTGTTTGGTATTCAACTATGTCTCGTTTGACCCAAATCTTGCCTCAAGAATAGTCTGGTCAAGGAGCCGTGTAGAGTCATGATTATTCCTCTGAATATGACTGACAAGTGTAGGGATGACCTCAATATAACAATAGAAGAACATTTACGTTGCTTGATGAACTAGGAAAATGTACATTCGAACGCAGTGAGGGAGTGAATCACTGTTAAATGTTCGGATTGATTCATGTTCGAACTTTTCCTGAGACGTGCTTCACTCTCTTCCTGTATTGGAATCTGACCTTGAGTACTTGTGGGGTGTTCTTACTCCTGTATGGTCATATTGATGATATTAATATGACAGCCGTGCTTGTGGCAGGCACGGTCTGGTCCAGCACGGTCTGGTCCAGCACGGTCTAGTCCAGCATGGTCTGGTCCAGCATGGTCTGGTCCAGCATGGTCTGGTCCAGCACGGTCTGGTCCAGCACGGTCTGGTCCAGCACGGTCTGGTCCAGCACGGTCTGGTCCAGCACGGTCTGGTCCAGCACGGTCTGGTCCAGCACGGTCTGGTCCGGCACGGTCTGGTCCAGCACGGTCTGGTCCGGCACGGTCTGGTCCGGCACGGTCTGGTCCAGCACGGTCTGGTCCAGCACGGTCTGGTCCAGCACGGTCTGGTCCAGCACAGTCTGGTCCAGCACGGTCTGGTCCAGCACGGTCTGGTCCAGCACAGTCTGGTCCAGCACGGTCTGGTCCAGCACGGTCGGGTCCGGCACGGTCTGGTCCGGCACGGTCTGGTCCAGCACGGTCTGGTCCAGCACGGTCGGGTCCGGCACGGTCTGGTCCGGCACGGTCTGGTCCAGCACGGTCTGGTCCAGCACGGTCTGGTCCAGCACGGTCTGGTCCAGCACGGTCTGGTCCAGCACGGTCTAGCACGGTCTGGTCCAGCACGGTCTGGTCTAGCACGGTCTGGTCCAGCACGGTCTGGTCCAGCACGGTCTGGCCCAGCATGGTCTGGTCCAGCACGGTCTGGTCCAGCACGGTCTGGTCCAGCACGGTCTGGTCCAGCACGGTCTGGTCCAGCACGGTCTGGTCCAGCACGGTCTGGTCCAGCACGGTCTGGTCCAGCACGGTCTGGTCCAGCACGGTCTGGTCCAGCACGGTCTGGTCCAGCACGGTCTGGTCCAGCACGGTCTGGTCCAGCATGGTCTAGTCCAACACGGCCGGGTCCAGCACGGTCTGGTCCAGCACGGTCTGGTCCAGCACGGTCTGGTCCAGCATGGTCTAGTCCAACATGGTCTGGTCCAGCACGGTCTGGTCCAGCACGGTCTGGTCCAGCATGGTCTAGTCCACATTGGTCTGGTCCAGCACGGTCTGGTCCAGCACGGTGGTCCAGCACGGTCTGGTCCAGCACGGTCTAGTCCAACACGGTCTAGTCCAACATGGTCTGGTCCAGCACGGTCTGGTCCAGCACGGTCTAGTCCAACATGGTCTAGTCCAACACGGTCTAGTCCAACATGGTCTGGTCCAGCACGGTCTGGTCCAGCACGGTCTAGTCCAACACGGTCTGGTCCAGCACGGTCTAGTCCAACATGGTCTAGTCCAACATGGTCTGGTCCAGCACGGTCTGGTCCAACACGGTCTAGTCCAACATGGTCTGGTCCAGCACGGTCTGGTCCAGCACGGTCTGGTCCAGCACGGTCTGGTCCAGCACGGTCTGGTCCAGCACGGTCTGGTCCAACACGGTCTGGTCCAGCACGGTCTGGTCCAGCACGGTCTGGTCCAGCACGGTCTGGTTAACCTCTATATCCTGTGGTCTTGTTCATCCGACCATCATGATGTGATCATCTAGCCTTGTGTGGTCTGGTGAAGCATCAACTACAGCGGGAACGTTAGTTCTCTGTGGCGTTGATGCTCCGAGACTCAGACTTGCTCAACAGGTATGGAAACTTGTTCTCACATAATTAGTTCGAACACCCGGCACATAGGTTCGAACCCTGATCGAAAATCCTGTGTTCTTTGATATATATCAAGTTAATGGGATTTTGTAACTCCAGTCAACCCTAATGTGTGAAAAACAGGTGCAGTTACTCCAGTTAAATTAGGTGATTTATACATGCTAAACAATGGCTTAATATATGGGATTATAATTTATTATTAACTTGAATATAATTGGCAGTGTAATACTGAGTTAATTACTGGCTTGGTTAAAGGAGAGTATAATTGGCTTGATTGTATTGAATGATAATTGGCATGGTTATATTGGATGATAAAATTAGGTTGGTTTTCCATCTAATTAATGATAGTATAATTGATATTTACTTTCGTATAATCGAGAGCATGATAATGGATGATAGTGTGGTATAATGGGTGTTGAGTGGGTTATATAGGATGATAATTTCAGAGTATATTTGAATATAACTCCCGAAGTTATACTAGATTATTTTTCAAGAGATTTGGTGGATTATAATTAGCTATGTTACTCTTGATTCAAAATAATTGGGCTGTGTTGGATTATAATTGGTGGTTGACACTTATCCTTCAGTGATTGACACTGTTATCCTTCAGTGGTTGACACTGTTATCCTTCAGTGGTTGACACTGTTATCCTTCAGTGGTTGACACTGTTATCCTTCAGTGGTTGACACTGTTATCCTTCAGTGGTTGACACTGTTATCCTTCAGTGATTGACACTGTTATCCTTCAGTGGTTGACACTGTTATCCTTTAGTGGTTGACACTGTTATCTTTCAGTGGTTGACATTGTTATCCTTCAGTGGTTGACACTGTTATCCTTCAGTGGTTGACACTGTTATCCTTCAGTGGTTGACACTGTTATCCTTCAGTGGTTGACACTGTTATCCTTCAGTGGTTGACACTGTTATCCTTCAGTGGTTGACACTGTTATCCTTCAGTGGTTGACACTTATCCTTCAGTGGTTGACACTGTTATCCTTCTGTGGTTGACACTGTTATCCTTCAGTGGTTGACACTGTTATCCTTCTGTGGTTGACATTGTTATCCTTCAGTGGTTGACACTGTTATCCTTCAGTGGTTGACACTTATACTTCAGTGATTGACACTGTTATCCTTCAGTGGTTGACATTGTTATCCTTCAGTAGTTGACTGTTATCCTTCAGTGGTTGACACTTATCCTTCAGTGATTGACAGTTATCCTTCAGTGGTTGACACTGTTATCCTTCAGTGGTTGACACTGTTATCTTTCAGTTGGTTTTCTGTTATCCTTCAGTTGACATTGTTATCCTTCAGTGGTTGACTGTTATCCTTCAGTGGTTGACACTGTTATCCTTCAGTGGTTGACACTGTTATCCTTCAGTGGTTGACACTGTTATCCTTCAGTGGTTGACACTGTTATCCTTCAGTGATTGACACTGTTATCCTTCAGTGGTTGACACTGTTATCCTTCAGTGGTTGACACTGTTATCCTTCAGTGGTTGACACTGTTATCCTTCAGTGGTTGACACTGTTATCCTTCAGTGGTTGACACTGTTATCCTTCAGTGGTTGACACTGTTATCCTTCAGTGGTTGACACTGTTATCCTTCAGTGGTTGACACTGTTATCCTTCAGTGGTTGACACTGTTATCCTTCAGTGGTTGACACTGTTATCCTTCAGTGGTTGACACTGTTATCCTTCAGTGGTTGACACTGTTATCCTTCAGTGGTTGACACTGTTATCCTTCAGTGGTTGACACTGTTATCCTTCAGTGGTTGACACTGTTATCCTTCCGTGGTTGACACTGTTTATCCTTCAGTGGTTGACACTGTTATCCTTCAGTGGTTGACACTGTTATCCTTCAGTGGTTGACACTGTTATCCTTCAGTGGTTGACACTGTTATCCTTCAGTGGTTGACACTGTTATCCTTCAGTGGTTGACACTGTTATCCTTCAGTGGTTGACACTGTTATCCTTCAGTGGTTGACACTGTTATCCTTCAGTGGTTGACACTGTTATCCTTCAGTGGTTGACACTGTTATCCTTCAGTGGTTGACACTGTTATCCTTCAGTGGTTGACACTGTTATCCTTCAGTGGTTGACACTGTTATCCTTCAGTGGTTGACACTGTTATCCTTCAGTGGTTGACAGTTATCTTTCAGTGGTTGACACTGTTATCCTTCAGTGGTTGACACTGTTATCCTTCAGTGGTTGACACTGTTATCCTTCAGTGGTTGACACTGTTATCCTTCAGTGGTTGATATTGTTATCCTTCAGTGGTTGACTGTTATCCTTCAGTGGTTGACACTGTTATCCTTCAGTGGTTGACACTGTTATCCTTCAGTGGTTGACACTGTTATCCTTCAGTGGTTGACACTGTTATCCTTCAGTGGTTGACACTGTTATCCTTCAGTGGTTGACAGTTATCTTTCAGTGGTTGACACTGTTATCCTTCAGTGGTTGACACTGTTATCCTTCAGTGGTTGACAGTTATCCTTCAGTGGTTGACACTTATCTTTCAGTGGTTGACATTGTTATCCTTCAGTGGTTGACATTGTTATCCTTCAGTGGTTGACACTGTTATCCTTCAGTGGTTGATATTGTTATCCTTCAGTGGTTGACAGTTATCCTTCAGTGGTTGACACTGTTATCCTTCAGTGGTTGACATTGTTATCCTTCAGTGGTTGACAGTTATCTTTCAGTGGTTGACACTGTTATCCTTCAGTGGTTGACAGTTATCTTTCAGTGGTTGACAGTTATCTTTCAGTGGTTGACACTGTTATCCTTCAGTGGTTGACAGTTATCCTTCAGTGGTTGACACTGTTATCTTTCAGTGGTTGACACTGTTATCCTTCAGTGGTTGACAGTTATCCTTCAGTGGTTGACAGTTATCCTTCAGTGGTTGACACTGTTATCTTTCAGTGGTTGACATTGTTATCCTTCAGTGGTTGACATTGTTATCCTTCAGTGGTTGACACTGTTATCCTTCAGTGGTTGACACAGTTATCCTTCAGTGGTTGACAGTTATCCTACAGTGGTTGACACTTATCCTTCAGTAGTATTCTTTCGTAAATCCCAGGTCAGTGTTGACTGGTTGACGGCTTAAGGGCAAGAGGTTCCTTGGGTCGTGTCTCATGACAAAACCACTTGCCACAGACGAGACACGACCCTGCATATCTGGTCACTCTCAGAGGTCAAAGGTGAGGGTCACTCGGAGAGGTCAAAGGTCAGGGTCACTCTCAGAGGTCAGGGTCACTCGGAGAGGTCAGAGTCACTCAGTCATTCATCATTTGGTCCATGCAGCTCATCCTCCTAAGGTTTCATAATGTCAAGAAAACGGTAAAATTAAAGTAGTCTCTCCTAACTTACCAGAGGACCCAAAACAGAAAACGGGGACAGTACGTCACTTTCGCCAGCCGCTTCCATTTTCTAGTACGACAATTTTTTTGGTTTTATGTAAGGCATACGATCGAAATGCGACGTTCTTTGTAGTGCAGTTTGGGCCATGTGTGATCACACATGTAGGGAGATCATGGGCCACCTAACCTAACCTAACCTAACCTAACCTAACCTAACCTAGTCTAACCGGACGACAACTTCACCAGTGTCATCAGATCACTGGCAAAAGCTCTGCAGTGACAATGAATATACTAAGACTCTTTTTGGACATTCATTATATATAAAAAAATATGAAATATATATTTCGACAATTTAGAACCGTTTTCAAATCTCAGATATTCACAAATTCTATCCTTACGTCTCAAGTGTGTTTACCGCAAATATTTACATTTTTTATCCTTAGGAATCCTTGATTTGTTGGGTAGTTGGCATATATAGCTGAATCCTGTTCCTTATTGTGCTTTCTATTTCCAAGATGTTCCTTGTAGGTTTCCTTGCTGAAGGTCTTGGACCTCTGTGTTATTAGTGTTGGTTTGGGTGTTGTGTGGTGTTGGTGGCAGGGTGTAGTGTGGTGGTGGCAGGGTGTAGTGTGTGGTGGTGGCAGGGTGTAGTGTGTGGTGGTGACAGGGTGTAGTGTGTGGTGGCAGGGTGTGTAGTGTGGTGGTGGCAGGGTGTAGTGTGTGGTGGCGGCAGGGTGTAGAGTGTGGTGGTGGCAGGGGTGTAGTGTGTGGTGGTGGCAGGGTGTAGTGTGTGGTGTGGCAGGTGTAGTAGTGTGTGGTGGTGGCAGGGTGTAGTGTGTGGTGGTGGCAGGGTGTAGTGTGTGGTGGTGGCAGGGTGTAGTGTGGTGGTGGTGG